ATGGCCACAAGCCAGAAGAGGGACAAAGATAGAGGCTTATGAGTCTGGGGTCTTCGCTGCTCCATGCTACTCCTCAGTAAGGACCAGGGTGTCCTCACCAGGAAAGGGCTGCAGCCAACGCAACAGCTTTAATGGGACCCAAAATAAGTGACCACCCTTATTACCCCAGCCCACAGCTAGCAATGGGGACAGGCCCGCATCAAAGTCCTCAATCCAGTCTCCCTAGCCAACCCTGAGCTGTAAGCAGTAGGCCACTTGGCTCCACTACTAGATGCTCCACCCACAGGTAAAGGTTTTGGAGGAGGCGACAGTCAGCTCCGACTAAAACAGCCTGCGAGGATGGGCAAGCAAGACAGGGGATTCCCACCCCCCTCCAACAGGAACAGAGAAGCGAGGCTCTTACCTTCACCGTGTAGAGCGTGTAGGGATGAAAACCCGTCCCGCTGTGCTCTCGGGCAGTGATGGTGCCGGTTATCCGCAGGTTCTGGATGACAACCGGGCCATCGGGGCTACTGAGCGGCTCAAAGCTGAAGGTGTTGAGGGGAGCCGTGGGGGAGGAGGAGAGCAGGGGGGGCGGCTGGCTGGGGTCCAGGGGGCTCTGTGCCTGGCTCTCCGAGGACACCAGCTCTTTCCCCAAGAAGGAAGGTCGCTGTGAGAAAGGCTTCTCTGGATCAGACAACAGTGCAGTGAGAGCAGCCAGGCTCTCCTCCTTCTCTACCACAGGGTCAATCTGAATGTCAGGGCAAGGGCCCAGCACGGTGGTGAGCAGGCATGTCTTGGAGCTGGGGACAGTGCTGTCCTCCAGGTACCCATTCTTGCCTCCCACAGCATCCTCTTGGTCCAAGCCATCTGGCCCCTCCAGCTCTGCAAAGCTGTCTTGGAACGCGCCAGGAAGAAAATCCTCGGTGGACAAGAGCACCACAGAGTCAGAGTCTTTGCCCAGGTCGGACATGGGGGACTCGAGGTCCAAGTCCTCGCAGGGGAAGAGCGAGCCCAGAGTGTCGGGCTGGAGGGAGCGCACAGGCGTGCTGCCGGCTTTCCTTCTGTCCATGTCCAAACTGGACTCTCCACCCACTGAGTCTCTCCCATCTTCCCTCTCCTGGTGGTTGCACTCCACACCATCCACCTCATTGTATCCGGGGGGCTCAGAGGCCCTTGGAGATGGGTCTGCAACCTCTGGGGTGGCTTCCAATTGCTCCTTTAGCGGCAAGGAGCTTGGCACCGGGGCTTGGCAGGAAGGGGAGGGTGGAGGGGCCTCCTCTCCCTTCACTGCTCTCACCACTTTGCTGCCCGTCTTGGAGAAAATCCCAATCAGCAGCAGGTTGATCCAGTCGGGGTCAGCCATCTTATTGATCATGGGCAGGAGCACGTTGCAGGTGATCAGCTCCACCACCACGAAGCGCCCGGTCCTGGTTTCCAGGTGAGGCTTGGGTACCAGCCCCTGGAGCAACAGGTCCACAATGCCCCGGGTGTAGTTCACTTCCATGCCAGGACTCTGGACAGCTGGGTGTGGAGGCGTGCTTGCACTGTACGCTCGCCAGAGCTCAGCTGCCCACTGCTGTGGGTCCCCCGGTTTCCCTGCAACCCCCACAGTTTCCCTGGCTTTCATGTAGCTCTGCAGGTGGCAGCCGCAAAGCAGGAGGACCTTCTGGGTCAGGGCTTGCCGGTCCACCAGCACCATCCTCCTCTTGAGCTCTTTTGCCACCTCCGCCATGGCCTTCCGCAGCTCCTCTTCAAAGCCGCGCTCGCTGCTCACCGTCTGGTACCAGGAGGACACGAAGTCCCGGATGATCTTCTGGATGGTGCGGTCGATCTCGGCGTCCAGCTGCCTCTCCGCCTCGGGGCTCTGGGGGCAGGGCTCCAGCACCACGAACCTTTCCAGGTGGATGCGTTTGCTGGTGCCGATGACGGCCTGGGACCCCAGCCATCCCCCCAGCACGGCCAGTAAGCCCGAGAGGATGCAAAGCAGCCAGACGTTGACAAGGAGGTGGACAATTAGCAACCAGCCTAGCACGGCCCCGAGAGCAATCAGCCTCCTGGTGCCGATCAGGTCTCCGAGGCTCCCGCCGCCCTGCGCTTTGAGCATCCTCTGGCTTTTCATCCCCAGAGGCGGCAGGGCAAGGTCTGGCCAGCAGCAGTGCAAGCGGCCGTGCCCTGTGACATGGACAAGCAGAGCAGGGCTTTAATCGGACCCTGGCAAACACCCTGCACAGCCAGCCAGGACTGAGGACAGGCCAAAGCTGCGAGCAACACTCTGCTGAGTCCAAACCCTAGCACCAATGCACCCCCACGCAGCTGCGGGCGCTGCCCAATTGCTCCCCCTTTGCCACAGGGTCTAAGGCCGGCTGATTCCCTTTAAAATCCCCAAACTATAAGAGTCCCTTTAAAAGCATCACTGGCCTGCTTTTTGACCAACAGGGTTGGGCTGCCCCAGGCCCACATTCACATTAGCCCCCTGCTCTTTTGTTCCCCCCCATGCATCTTCCTTATAAAGCCAGCGACAACCTCCAATCCTTCTGCAACACGCAGGGCTTCACCGGGCGCTCACGGTCCTACGTCACAGGGCTCTCTCCAGGCTGTGCTACGATGCATCGCTGGGCCTTGGCTCCTTTTCTTTCCCCTGGCCCTGCTCAGCATCCATGTCCAGCCCAGCAGCTGCTCTCGGGCCTGGGTCTGGCCATCTCTTCTCCCAGGGATGGGTGGGCTGGGGGTGTTGCCTACCAGCTTCCTGATCTGCCTCTGCCGAGGAGCAGCTAGGAAAAGAGGACAGCGGAGGGTGCAAAGCAACACCGAGCAGGTTTTCTCAGTGCCATCTAGTGACAGGAGCCAGCAGCAACACACAGCGCAAGAAGCTGGAAGACAGTAATGCAAATTCCTCTGATCATGCAGCCGCTAGCATGGCTGTGAAATTTGGGGTGCATTTTAGTAGCAAGTAATAGCCACTATGACTGTAACATCAGGAAGGCGTGCACCGCACGTGCTAATCCACGCAGCGCACACAGACACATACCTAAAAAGCACCCGCTGCCTCAAAGACTACTTGCCAGCACCTCTGAGCCTATTCCCATTGCAGCCCTCATGCTCACTGCAGTAGTTTCAGTCTCCTTCATAACATTAATTTGCAACCCAGCTCTCATTTACCTATCCCTGCTGGTACGGCTCAATCTTGCAGACAGGGAAAATCAGGAACAGCACCGTGAACAATAGAAACTAAGCGCTTCCTAACTCCTCACCCCTTGCTCCAACTACAACACCAGTCTTTACCCAGGTTTTACATCATCACAGAGAAGTCCCTGATCAGAAGGACAGGAACAAGTGTTTAGAAGTATTATAAAGCCATGGAGTTAAAATGACCTAATGTAACTATCATGTTGGACTGAAATAATTACTGTGCAGCACACCTCATGCAAACACAGGTGAATGAGATTAGTAGATCTTAATTCCCCAGTCCAAACTGAAGCGACTAGCCTGAGTCACAGCAAACAGCTGAATCCAATCCTCAGACTCCAAGCACCTTTGGCCTGGGGGGAAATTCAGGTTTTGAACCATAGGAGTTCAGCACTTCACAGTGTAGAGCCAATGTGAGTATTAAGAAACCCACCTTGATTACCTAGTATTTCCTTTATCCCAGGTACACTTCTTATAATTGCGATAAAAACCATCTCTAACTCAGCCAGTTCACACTTCAAGATGATTTTAGATTAAGTCTGGGTGTTTTCAGGAGTTTGCCCAGCCTCCACTTTCGTGATATCTAGATATCCCCTATAGTCAGCTTATCCTCAGAACACCCCTCTGAAGAAGGGCAGTCTTGTCAGCAAATTGAGAGGTGAGGAAATAAAAAGGATAGTCATTTCTTCTTTCTCTTCACCTATGAAAAAGTAAAATGCTTCTCCTGACTTTAGAGAGGTAACATGAGGCCATAACCCTGTTTCTGAAGAGCCTAGGTGCTAGTGAGGACCTCACGAAGATGGTTTTTCATAATGAAAGTAGGAGGGAGGGGCTGTGCAGGTATAAGGCATTGTCCAAGGAGCGACCCTTGACCATGCTTGAATAGGTCCCTGCTGCACATGCAGCCTAACAGCTCTGCATCACTGTGAGTCTGAAAAGGGAAGAGGGCTTCCTGAATAAAAAATGTAAAAAGGCTTGAATTTCCAGGACTCTGGAGTTCCTATTGCTGCCCAGGTCTCGGCTTGGGGTAGAGCAACCACCTTTTCAAAATGGAAAGGTGAGACACATGCCTGCCTCCTCCCCCACCACCTTTGCCAGTGGCACAGCTGGAGCAGCGCAGGGCAGAGGGAAGCAGAGCAGGGGTGGATGTGGGCTGCTTGCTGTGGGCTCAGCATGGGGAGGCTGATGCACATGACGCTGGAGCTAGGTAATAATTACCATGCTCCAGCAGACTCAATGAATCGAGTCTACTCCAACATGCTCTAATTACAGCATGTTGGAGCAGCCTCCCTGCATGTGTATAGGAGCCCATGGTGTTTAATTTAGTCCTTCCATTTGGTTCTGTTTCTAATTAAGTCAAAAAAGAGGATGAGTTTGGTGAATTAGAAAGAGCTGCCACAGTTCTCAGGGAAAGACAGCTCAGAAGCTGTTGATAAGGTCTATACTGAGGGTCCCAAGTTCAGTTTCTGCTGTCATCTGTGATACAGAGGCCGCTTCTCTGGGTTTGGATTGTCCAAAGAGTTCACTTAGCCTGAATGCTGGGAAGGTCTTTTTGAGCGGATGCTTGTAACTGGTATAAGGAGGGAGGCAGCAAGCACAACTGAAGGGGTTAAAGTGACTAACCCTAAGTTATTTCTGTAGGTTCTTAATTCCCTTTCCTAAATGACGCATGAGAGATGTATATGCCGCTGACGGTGTCTGAAGGACAGGTGGGAGAGAGCATGTTCTTGTCCACAGAGTTTTCTGTGGTCCTTCCCATGGTTTCTGTTCATTGCCATAATAGCACATGAGGATGACGTGCTCTCTCCTAGGGGCAGTAGTAGATAGACAATCTTCTTCTACTTTGCTGCCCATAATAATACTAAGCAGCACTCTGCATAACTGGTGAGAGCACAGATAGATTAGCCGCCTGGGTTCTGCTTTCATTTGTACCAGACGGTCATGGATATAACCCCTCAGGGGTCACTTGCTATCTGGGGATTCCCGGGGCACAGTGTGCTCTAGCTGGGTCTCCTCTTAGCTTACTTTGATATAAACACTTCACCATGCACTGGGGCAGGTGCTGATGTGGCCTTCAGCTGTGATGGCTTCATAAGCCTGTAGAGAAGGTGCTCAGCTTGCCCTTCCCTTTGTGCCACAGAGCAGCTCAGGGGAGATGCTCTGGAGCAGGCTTGGCAGGATCTAAGGGCCAGGCTTCAATGCAGATGTCACTGGTGTAACTGCAGAAACCCCACTGACTTTAACAGGGATGCTGATGTTAAATCAGTTTTGGTGAAAGGAAGGTTTGGCCCTTCAGTCAGCAGCATGGTCTCTCCATGAGCCCTTCACATGGCTGCTAAATGATCCCATAACTACTTGTCATGTTTCAAAAACCTCTGAAAACTAAATGGGAACTGACAGAGAAGCTGGAAAAGTGGCTGCGAACCAGGGGTGACATGATGAAGAAAATGAAACCAAATGAGACTTGGAGCAGCAGACCATCAGGCTATGAGTGGCAGGCTGGGACAGGGGGGACATGTCTCCAAAGTGGGGACTGAGTCTCAAAGAATACCCTAGCCTTTCCCATTAGCTTCAGAAATGCCGATCCCTGCCTTGGTGCAATGTTCAGACTGGAGGCTGCCATTCACCAAGGCTAGGGCCTAGATCCTCAATGTGTGAACTGGCAGTGCTCCAGGAAGACAAATGGAGCAGTGATTTACACTAGCAGAGGGTAGGAATGGCAGTGTTCCCACAGCCACCAGGATACCACACATAGCTAGTAAGGTGATAGTTTGACCACTTAGAACATATGCTAGATCTGAGGTCACTGAATTGCTCATTTAGTGTCCCTGAAAAGGAGCAGCAATAGCAGGGCATGGGGAGGGAGGAAGAAATGCCCTAAAGCAAGTCTTCCTTGCTGCTCTTTAAATGTACCCTCTCCCCATTAACCCACTGTGGGCCAACCATGCCAAAATTCCCCCTGGCTTCCAGGAAGTGTTAATGCTACTCATGGTAGGAGTGCGAAGTGAGAGCATTGGTACTTGCTGAGAGACAGCACCATTCCCTGCTCCCTGTCGAGGAAGTGAGACATGAGACTAGCTGGAGACTTGGGCAGCTGAAGCTGGCATGGGGGGAATAAAAGGTAGGAAACTGGTGTTGTTCTCCACATGTAGGTATCTGAGAACAAGATGGTTTGTCTGAGCAGCAGCTGTTCCCTTGACTAATACACCAGGGACCCTTACAGCTTAAAGCCAGAGTGGTTACAGCTGGAAGTTGTGCAGCCAGGTTCCCTGGCTGTATCTTTAACAGGCCATAGCTATATAGTAATTCCCCCACATAGGCAGGCATGTCCAAGAAGCAGTGTGGCTAGGTCTGGTGGTGCTGCAGGTGGGCTAATTAGTTACTCAGCAGTGCTGATTAGGCCATGGCTGCACTGTAGGGCATTGGACGCTCAGGAATGGCAGCAATAATTGGGGGTGTGGGGTAGACAGTGACCTGCAGCAGCAGCTTCAGCCAGGCTCCTTGATATAAGACTAACCACCCTGCTGACAGTCATCTCTTCCCTTGCCTCCTCTCTCCTCAGTCCTCCTGTGTGGAGCTGCATGGTCTCCTTGAGACTGCTGCTTCTAGGCATGATCATTTGACCAGACAGGTGTGGCCAGATGTGCATTTTCTCTTGGGTGGGTGACATGCTTACGTGCCTTCTTATGTGTGTGTGGGGTTGTGTAGGCCTGCACATGTGCTGTTTCTCTTGTGTTTATTCTGCCTAGGCATATCTGGCACTCTGCTGGGAAAACATAAGTGGGTAGAAGGCTTGATATATTTTTGTATCGAGTTGTTTGGGAACAGAGGGTACGAAGTAAGTTCCCTGGGGGAATGCTAGAGCGTGTCATGTTGGTTGCTTGCTCTTGTCTATTCCTTTTGAAAGTTTGACTTCACTATCTTCAGTCAAAGTCTCTGGTACGGATCCAAAACCTTTTGCGGGTTTTGGACCAAGAATCAAACTTTCTCCATAAACAAACACTCTCCCTGGAAAAGGAATGTTTTAATCACAACCTAGTTTTTTCCACCAAAAATATAGTTTTGAAAGAAAATTGGTGACCTGCCCAAATAAAAGTGCCTATTTCTGTGAGAGCTATGGAGAATGGAAACATCAGCCATTGAGTCTCACCTGTGGGCCATGATAGCATAGTGACATCAGTAAGCTCAGATGCAGCCCCCCGCCCAGTCAGCTCATGACATTCGGTCACAATTCCCTGTTACGATGCAACAGCAGCTGCACTGGAGACAGCACCTTTCATTGTTCAGGTTCTCGGTACAATTTCAGAAAAAGAGGCCTGCCAGTGCATCTGATCTCATGCAGAAGTAAATGTGGAGTGACTCCACTGGAGTATGTTCATTGTGAGTGCAGATGTGGACAGTATCCCTGACGGATGACGACACACCAGTTCTATACCTATGTTAAGTTAGTAGGGTCATTCCTGATTTACCCTATTGTACGTGAGATCAGAGTCCAGCCTATCATTTGCTAAGTAAGAAAACCCCTGCTCATGGGGCATGGCTTTTGGGAGATGAGGGAAAGGTCTTGCTTCCTTTCCTGTTCCATGCTGGTATAAATAGGATACAACTCTTCTGCAGCAGATGAGTCAGTTCAGCGTAGGCCAGAGAGGATGAGGTCTGTTCTTCTCGTGTTCAAAAATGATCCGGTTTCATCCCTGAACTGGTGA